AATTATTCACATGCAATTTAGGACCTGAATTCAAGAGAACAGAACATCTGAAAATAATGGGAACTGCAAAAGTACAGTAATTCTATGGAATAAGTCAGTGAATGTCTAGTTTGCAATGTTTACAACAAGGATATTTAAGTCTTCAAGAACATTAGCCTGTGTTATTTGCACTGCAGAAAGCTAAAGGGAAATGGATTCTGTAAATATGGATTCTGTAAACTAGTGGATTCTTTTTTTCATTTTATTAACGCTTTGGTCCAGAGAACGGATTAATATTCTGCCTTACAAGAGAGAATGCTCTTAATAGATAAAATTTATTACATTTATTAATTGTCAAAATTCCTTTCACATTTGCAAGTCATCATCTCACATACCATGAACCCCTTCTCTATATTGGCAGTGGAACTTTGACATTTATGGTCTAAATCTGAAATTGTCATTGAGAACATAACATACTGTCAGACTATATGAACCGAGATAATGCACTTCTCTTCCTTGCCTTTTAGTTTTTCATGTGTCAGCCAGTGTAATTTATCTGCTGATTTCTTTGTGGGAGTCAAGTAACTAAATCACTAAAATTCTGAGCTCCTTTTCAAGCTCTGCCCCTTACTTCCTCCATGACTTCAGACATGTCACTTAATCTTTCTTTACTCCATTTCCCCCTCTAAAAATGGAAGCTGTAAACCATTCCCTTATTTTCCTTCTTTCACAGAGATGACTGCTGTTCTCCAACGCTTACTGAAACATGGGCTAACTTAAAATACTGTGCTGCAGACCAAAGATAGGTTCATGTAGAAATACCTGAGCTAGCTTTAACACAGGTATCTCAGGTGTGGTAAACAGACTAATTATGACTGCATGGAAACAATTCTCCAAGGAAGAACATGTGAGCCAAAATCTACAGTGCTGCAGTTTCACTGCTATAGGTACCCTGGCTAAATTAAACAAAAAATAAAACTGATTAGGCCACTACATGTATAAATAAATAGTAAGTGTACAGAAAACTGGGGGGGAAAAAAAGGAGTATAATAAAATATTTCTAAGAAGGATGCAAGAAACATGAGAGATACCTGACAGAACCATGTGAATGGACATGAAACACAACAATAAAAAGCTCTCCTTAGAGACTGTATGTGTAATTAATAACATAAGAATTAATATGAAAAGGCTGTATTGTCCATTCCTCAAAGGGTAAGAATACATCTCCAGCTATCCCTACCTACGTTAGAAGAAATAGAAGTTCATGGAAAGAAAAAAATAACAAGTATAAGATGACCAAAGACTGAAAAACCTAGGAATATGTATAGTTCAGAGGAAAGATAAATTATAAGAAAACATAATAACCCACACTATTTAAAAAGTAAAATGGAATACTTCCATGATCTGTCTCATAATGATAAAAAGGGACAGTCACTAAAACTGTTAAATAAGATAAAAAAACAAATAAAAATAAAACAATTTTGATAACCTTCAGAGGAATTTCCTGTTGAAAGATATCCTTCAGGCCAGTAACTTGAAGAGGGTTAATGACTTGTGATAAAATAGGTATTATTATTATTGTTGTTGTTGTTGTTGTTGTTGTTGTTGTTGTTGTTATTTAGAAAATCACAATTTAAAGCACGTGCTATTAACTGTTAGAGTCAGGAGGATAGGTAATTCTGGAAGTATCTGCCACAGGGGTTTTTTTTAACTTTCCTCTGAGATATGTGGTATTAGGCATTGTCAAAAACAGAAGGCTATGACTAAAGACCAGGAAACTCATTTACCATGGTAATGTCTTTACCTTTGATATACAAATACAATAAAAATGTTCTTGAGAAAATTATTGTGCAATTTACATTAAGACAGTGCCATCCTAACAGCAAAATTAGAGAAGAAGCCTGCACATATGAGCAGAATTTCCTTGTAAGGAAAGCTCCAAGGGCAGGGGATAAATTAACTCAGAAGTTACTTCTGGCTCTGCAGATTTTACTAATTAACAAGATCTTTGCATACTGAATTTTCACAGTCAATCTGCTAACATTTCTTTTTTTCTCCCCCCCCCCCCCCCTTTTTTTTTCTCTTGCATCTGACACCACAGCTAATCATCAGAACAAAACTTCAATCTACATCTGACAGTCATGTAGGCTGGTAGGTAATGTACAGCATATTCTAAGAAAACCAACCCCCTTACCCCTTTTTTTTTTTCTTTTTCTTTCCAGCATTTTATCCTCATCTGAGAAAATAGAAAGAGGCCTCTTACCAGCAAACAGAAAGCTGAATTTCCTATTTACTCTGACTGTGAACTCAACCTTCTTACATTTGCCTTAACTATAAAAATTACTTGTGTTCCTTTGTCATCTTAGCTTGCAAAAAGAAGTATGAAATGTATCAGAGGATTTAGCGTACTGTGCTGAAAATTATAATTTCAAACTTTACAATGAAAGGGAATCCAAACCAATTAGTTATAACTGCATTGTTTCACACCAACTGAAATTAAATGCTAAATATTTGAAGTAATAACAATTAATAACTAAGATAGCTTCCAAAGTGCTGTTTCCATGGAAAATTTGCATGAAAATCCAGTATAAATTCTGATTAAAACCTAACCAAGCTAAACACTGCAGATTACCTAGATTCCAATTAAATGTGATAAATGAACACTTGACAGATTTCAATTCCAATTCTATTTCTGTCAGAATGATCCATTAATATTGAAGATTACATTATCAGAATTTGAACAATACAATTGTGCTTAAAATAGTTAAAATACAAGTGGACTTAAGAATCAGATCATAGAAAACTCTCACTCAAATGTCAGATATTACATATATGAAGGAACAAAAGTACATTCCATCCTGTTCTGTCATTATTTATATATTATTGTTAACAAAAATTTCTGGAGGAAGATGACATGCCACTGTTGAAATCTTGTTTTTAAAATGTGACAGCAAAATCCAAAAGTCTGTAGAGTATAATTTTCATCACAATGTCACCCACCTTTCAAAGGTCTCAGTTCAAGGTTGTATAAAGGAGAAGGAATTCCTGATTGCTATATGCAAGTCCTGCCATTCAATCTTTTTTTCATGGTTATTTTGTTTTCATTCATTTATTCATGGAATAATGTATTTATCTAGCTCTATGTTTCTATCTATTCTATCTATACAATACTATTTTTAAAACTGAATCTAACAAATTCATCCTACCAAATATAAAATATCATCTTTCAAAAAATCAAAGTAATGTCTAAAATACTTTAATTATTAGAATGCAATGCCAGTTTTTGCATCAACACAAAAACTTAAACAAACTGGTTTGCTTTAATTTTTGACACTGCTCAAGCACTCTTCATTTTCAATTACACTTCAGTAAGTGTGATGATTTTCATTGGCTACCGAATAGATTAAAAATTATATTCAATTGTAACTCTACAGTTTTCTCAGTACGGTTCAGGCATACTCCATGTTAGCATACTTTCTGAACTCAGAATTTAATGTCTAGCAATCTACTACACTGCTATATGTCCAGGAGAATTAACAAATTGTTTAGCTTCATTATCTTAACCACAAGATCTCACTACAAAACAGACAATAAAATAATCATCCCAATTTAGGTACAAAGTCTGGAAACTTTTTTCTGACATTTTTCTAGTAATACCAGTATCACTTTATCCCCTACCACACACCCAGAAAAATGAAATGTAGAGAGATATATTCATATAAACAACCGAGGAGAATATATAGACACACACTTATACACATACATAACCTAATATATCTTCTTTTTAGATGGATAATACCATCTTCCTTTTCGGTCAATTAGTCATTTGCTGTTGGGGTATACATTATAGGCATGTGTAGACTGCTGTAACCATTCTTCAGTCATACATACTAAATTTGGCAATATCTTACCATGGAGAATAATATACTTTTCTTGGGTCAACATGTCTATCTCAGGAAAGGCAGAAACCCAAGAACAATTATCCAGTGCTGTAATCACTGAAAAACTAAAACATGCACTTAGCCAAACTAATTCGTTCATTCTATAACAGAAAATACACCACCCTTCTTACATATATCCACCAATTCCAATTAGATTAGCAAACCCATTATTTCATTGGTTATCAAAAATCTGTATACATTGACATACAATAATTTATTTTATTGTTTATGGGCAAATGAAAATACAATGAAGTCAGTGTCTGACTTCATAAAATTTTAGATGAAGGCCAGTAAGTGGGGAACAGTAAAACATTCAGGTTTTATGAAATACATTTCAAATTGAAAAGACTTTTTAAAATTCTAAATAGTTTTAAATAGAAAGGAAAACAAAACCTGAGATTTAAATTACCTTTATGTTTTAATTGGAGAATTACTATAGAATAAATAAGGATTCAGCATTTTCCCCTTCTACATAAATAGACTCTGAATTTAAATGAGATGTTCTAAAAGTACTGTACAAAATAAAGTGTGAAGAAAAGGAATTTAATGTTCTTCTTTTCTAAATAATGAAGAATTGACTTGACACTGAGTGCTATTTTGAAAACAGTCTATATAATGTTTTTGTGGAAAAGGGAATTTTCTAGAGTGGGTTTTTTAAATCCTACTTTCTTTTGCTGATGCTGTACATATTATGTTCTGGGACAGTTCCTAAGTAGTTGTTGAACCAAAAAAGGAAGGAAAAGAGAATACATGTCTTTTATGGTCTTTTATCTAAAATGAAAAATATGGCATTTAATTCAATTACCATCTCCCCAGCCCTCTACTGGTATTTTTTTCAATGTTTTAACTGCTTCTGCAGTATGTTTTATAAATCATGTAAAGAAAAGAAAGTGCTGGTTTTATTAGTAGTGTTATGTTCCATTATTTTGTATATCTGCATTTTAACAAACTTTAAAATAAAATAATTACAATTTTAACTATTTAATATATTTATTTATTTTTTTGGACTGACCTTTCAAAAGTCTACTTAGTATCACTTGCTAGTGAGATTATGTGTGTGAATGTCATGTTTGCCCCTACCATTTTCCATATGCTCTGCCTCACCAACACTGCCATCCGGCGTAGTCCTTTCGTAGTTGTCCTCTGGGAGTGGAAGGGCACCCAGTCTTGGCCCTGATGAACTCTTACTGCTTGGTGTTTCTGACTCCTCCAGACCGCTGTCATAGCAACTCTGCAATGACCCTTGATGTGGGTCCTGAGGCTGACTCACAACAGAAAACGTCACTCTACGAAATGGCTGCAAGAGAAAAGATTCTGAATGTCACTGAAAAGTTCAGTCTTTGAACAACTGATTCTCAAAACATGACTTAAGCAAACTAATATTATAACATTTACCAATTAAACAATGTTGTCTAAATTAAAGCAAATGGCAAGTGCAGTCCTTAAAAGACCACTGGACAGAGTATCTGTGGATTTTTACTGTGATATACGGTCCAGAACCTTCACGCAGTTTTGCACAGCCCCCTTTCAAATGGCTGCATGAGCTAAGAAAGCTGGTTTATAATTATTTATAAATTCTATACAGTTTCTCTTTTACTCAATAGTAATAATTTGAATGGAGTTTATATCAGACTGCATAAAGGTACTTGACAGTGTGTGCATGTGTACGTGTAAAACTGTGTGGGTGGGTATAAATGCTCACCTGTAAACTATATTGTGGGTATTAACAACATAGCAGCACACCCATAAGCCTTTTATAAAATCACTTCCTGTGGTTTTGAAAGCTAGTTGACATGAGAAAGGCGATGCCATATGCCATAAAATTCAGTGCCTGGAGACAGGGTGTGTTGCCAGCTGACTTAATTTAAAGTACTGCGAGCACAGCTGACACCACATGTTTCCACTGGGACTGTACAACATAGATTGTGTCTCTTAGCTTCTTTGCCATAAAATTCAGTGCCTGGAGACAGGGTGTGTTGCCAGCTGACTTAATAAAGCCTTTAAAGTACTGCGAGCACAGCTGACACCACATGTTTCCACTGGGACTGTACAAACATAGATTGTTAGAGATTTGTATTCATTCAAAATGACAGATATTACTGTTGCTCTAGAAGCCTACACGCTGAACCCTGCCACCAGTGAGCATCCCAGGAAGTGGGAGAGTCGATCCTTCACATTTCAGAGGACACTGAGGGCAGGCGGAATTTTCAGTAAGAAGCTAGGGGATTCTCCTACAATTTGAACTACACTCAAGCAGTAATGATACATTTCAAATAATTTAATGATGCATTTGAAATAACTTACTGTTTGCAAGGCTAGAAAACCACAGAGAAATATCTGATGTTCTAGAAAGCACCTTCTAAAACAATTACCAATAGATCCATTTTATAAGACACTATGCAGACTTTCCTATGTTTAAAATGTGAGGTCTGAGAGTGCTGCCCACCTTTGGATTCAGATGTGTTTCAAGCCCCATGTTAGAATGAGACACAGGCATACAACACCCCCACTGGCACCTCTGGTCACTACAGGGTGGAAACATGTATGCAGGCCAGAAGGGAGGAAACAACAACTACAACCACTTACACAAGCCCTGAAGAATAGAAGTCCACATTAGGTTTACAAGTAGAGGGGTGGGTGGAGTTTTAGTTAGAATTTTTACAATTTTTTTTGAGGATACAAACTTTTGAAGATAAAAAGATATTCAGTGCTGATAATAGGTTGGACTACAAATATAACACTAAGTCTTCCTGGCACAAGTAGATCAAAAGTTTATAAATGTGAGTATTGCTAGAAATATGAGAAAATTCTAAGGGAAGAGTCATAGTATTTTCATGGTGAGTTTTTGACTTTTTAAAGTTTACTTCTATTCTTCAACTGCAAAGTGCTTTTATACCAATTTAATTTAGAGCTTCGTATCATACCAAATGCAAGGAAAATAGAGGAGCAAAACACAAGCATGGAGAGCACAAATAATGCACATTAAAAGACCACACTGAAATAGTTTAGAATTGCTGCTCCTTTCACTAATGTGGAAATAGCAGAAAGCATAGAGGAGGATTAGAACTGCTATGTTAAGACTCTATGTCTACAATATACAATTTGAATATCTTTTCCCCATAGATGCTCAGTAAGATCTTTCCCTTCCAGGAGTATTCAGAAGGAATCCCTTTGTTGAACTGCACAGGAATTCTAAAAGCTTTCCTACTGGTTCTGAATCATTCAGGAAGGATAAAGCCCATTTGCAGTAGTCTGCCCTGCAAAACATCTGCATCATTTGTATTGTATTTTCGTATTTCAATAATAGCTTGGTAATTTACACACGTGTTAATTCCTTCAGAGAAATAACTAAATAAATGTGAGGAAAGGTAAAGTGTCTTTATCTAAGCTATGGTTTTAGATATAAGCACCAATTTTCTTTTGTCCTTTTTTTTTTTTTTTAAACTTATGGAAGTAGTGATTTCCCTTCATGTGTTTTCCACAGATGGACTTCTAAGTATATCAAAAGATGTCAAAGATAATACTTCATATCTTGTAAACAGTCTCTGTTGTTTCTTTCCAATATGACTGTTCTCAGATCACTTAAGAATACTTGCAAGTAGAAGTTAAGGTTTCACTAGTCCAGTAAAGTTTATTATTCTCATTACACTGACCAAACTCACAGGATCTTTCCACTGTCTTGACACTGAAGTTACATTTATTTCTTCATCTTATTACCATGTCAGGTGACCAGCTGCCATTCCTGCTTACATAAGAAATGAGATATTATTTTTTGGAGAATGTAGATTGACTATTTACTAAGTATGCCAAAGTTGCTAGTGCAGTCTAAGTTGTACTTTTACTATTATTCGGGAAACAGCTCAGGGAACTAAGGACATAAGAAAAGAATTTCTCTTCACTCACATTTAACTCATTGGTACAATGCCCAGATGGATCCTAAGATCAAGTTTCACCTCCTATAAGTAGTACTGTTGGCAGAACGTTCTAGTGTGCCCACCTGTCTTTCCTGAGGAGCTTGTACTTTAGATGCATAAGTTGTCCCACCACAACTCAGTAATTTGAACAATGTCATATTTCTGAGGCCACACACAGAGCTACAGTTCCTCCTGCTTGTTTCCCAGGCTACGTACATTTCTGTACATATGGCATCCTTGAGGTGGACCCTCTTTCACTCTTTTATTATTCTGGAGGTCTCTTTTGTACCCGCCACCTTACACCTTTTGCTGTCCACCCCTGCCCAGCACTTCCTTACTTGACTGTGGGTTGTAATTTCCCTCCATGGCCATTCCTCATTTCACATTCTCCTCACCAGGATGCCCAGCCTGGTGGCAAAGATGATGTTACCAGCTTTGTCAGGTGGATCCTGTCTCTCCCCAGATGTCCTCAATCCTCCAAAAGGGGGTCCATTGGTCTAAAAGCAAAATCCCTGTCCTACAGGACCTACCTGTTCCTTCTCAAGCCTTTCACTGTCAGGACTGAGGAGGCACCATGAAGTCCCATGTGCCCTTTACCCTGTCTCCTTAGAGATGTGTAGCTGTGACCCTTGATACAGTCAACATCCTTACAGTGCCACTGGTGCCCATGTAGATAAGGAGCAGTAGATAATAGTCCAATGAGTGAATAAACGCAGGAGTCTCTGCAAGGCATCCTGCATCTGAGAACCTGGCACACTGCAAACCTCCTTAGACAGCAGGTCAGGTCAGCAGATGGGGCCTCCACCCCCCTTAGAAGAGAGTCTCTCACTCTGATGCTTCCTCAGGCAGAGTTTCCACCCTACTGTCTGCTACGAGGACACTGACCCTATTCTGCAGTTGCAAATCTGCAGGTGAAAGAGATGTTTGCTCTGTGTTGTAAGACATCACAAGCTTACAGTCTTCCCTATCTTGGGAGACTCTCCAGTGAGCACACCCTCCAGTTGTTCCTCTTTCTGTGCAGTCAGGGGGTTCAGGCTTCATGGGTGGCATATGAGTATACGTATGGATAAATGTATGGGTATATATACTATGCTAGTATGCTAAATATTATTTAGTGAAAATAAATATATAAGCTTGGAATAGAATAAATCTATTTTCAATTAAAATAGCTGGGTATGTAAGGAATATCCATATACTAGTTCTTGATGAGAAACTATTTTGCTTTAAATTAACATCTAGTGTAAATCATACAGCTTATCTTTGAACAGATATGGTAAAATATATTGTGGAATCACACAGACAAGCAAAAGTAATTTGTACATTATCTTTCATATTATATATTTAAGTATACTCATAAGCATACTTATATATACTAGTAAGTACATACATAACACATACATTTCAGGAAAAGAAATGGAACAAATTTTACATAGTCTAAATAGGTGCAAGACCATCAATTTCTATGGAGTTTTGTGAAGTTCCATTTTAAGAAGTTGCCTATTACTGACTACTGATGATATCCAATGGATATATTAAAACGGCTCCTAAACTTACACTTAAGGATTTATCTTGACTAGAGTTCAAGATTGTCACATCATAACTAATCTTATTGACCTCACAAAAACTAGCTTTATAAATCCTTGTATATATCAGTACTTAAGCTGTGAACTGTTTGATGGACCAAAACTTCACGCAATGAGATTGTGTATTCTGTAACTATATGTCAATTACTATTGTCAATTTGGGAGACAGTCCTGAAGGGCAAAGGGGTCCAGGAAGGCTGGATGATCTTCAAGAAGGAAGTCTTAAAGGCGCAGGAGCAGGCTGTCCCTGTACGCCGTAAGAAGAACGGGCGGGGAAGACGACCGGCCTGGCTGAACGGGGAGCTCTTGCTGGGACTCAGGAAAAAAAGGAGG